CATTGATCTGATTCCTTCATACCTGATGTGTCTTCTGTATATTGCTCAGTCTATGACAGGTGGAGAAGAGTGACATACATCTTGGAACTAACCTAACATCACTTTTTTTTTTGCTTAGGCCCTAATTAAACAAAACACCTTATTCAGCAGAGCACTTAACTTGTGTTGATTTTCTGTCATTAGATCAGAAGAAAAGAATCAGTGTTCCAAAGCAGAATCAACTGCACAGTACTAAAAGCAGTAAAATAAAAAAATCTGACTTGTCCTCATTGAAATTTGTTCATTGGTGATTGTGATGATCTTTTTTCTGGTCGCATAGTATAAATGTTATCTACTTCTGGTTAAAGGCTTTGCTGAATTGAAATCCTGCTGCTCATGTTTTGCGAAGACATTGCTTTAGATCTGTTGTGCTCAGTATGCTCCCATCCTTTATAAGCTGAAGGATGTAAGAACCTGAAGCTCATGAAGAGTTTGCAGACCTGAATATGAAATATGAGGGGTTGATTAGTGAAATATGGTGGAATGGTGCTTGAATGTGAAATATGTGGGTTTTCTTTGGTTGGGTTTTTTTTTTTTTACAAAAGCTCCTTTTAATGTACTTTTGTGGCTGTGACACCTGCTACATATGTACAGTGGGATACTTGTGAGCTGATAGTCTAAATTTTAGGTCTTCTCTTTCTCATTAATAGTGAACAGGGTTACGCTCTACTTCAGCTTTTATTAATGTTTCAACCTATTACCTGCAATTCCCTACTTTGTTAAAGTTATATGGAAAAAGGCCATCCTAATTACCATTTCTGCACTGACTTGAAAGTGTCTTGTTAGTTTCTTCCAATGAGGTAGACCACCACAGCTCTTTTGTGGGCTAGGGGCAGACATTCAAAAAGCCTGAGCCTGAATTGATTCAATTCTTGCAGGTTAGTCTAACCTGGCTAGGCTAAATCAGTTTGTAATGCAGACGGACATCCCAGAAATGCAGGGACATGCCTGCAGTGGCTCAGGCTAGAGGCCAGGTGGCACTAGAGCAGCCCTCTCTTTACTTCCACAAGACAGAGCTGAGGGGGGAATGGCCAAGCCCTGGCAGGATGCTCTGACCCCCAGCTGCCCAGCAGGGAATGTTTATCACCCTTAACTTGGTGTTTATCAAATCATTAAGAAAACAAAGCCTCTCTCTATTAACTAACGGAGCTTTTCTTAAGAAGCTTTTCCAAGGAAGGACATTAACCAACCTGTTGATTAGCTCCAAAAAGCCTGTCTGCCTCTGTCCTCTCCCACATCACAGACCTTAGCCAGCGTGTGGTCTGCTAGCTAATACTGAGGTGTCTGCATAAGGCAGAGGGGATGGAAAGAATAATCCCTGCTTAGCAGGGAGAAGCCAGGCAGACACTCTGTGCCTGGAAGTCTGTGCCAAGCTCCAGCCAGGGAGCAAAGGGGAAGAGCCAGCTCTACAGTGGAGCAGAGAGCCCCATCCAGCCTAGAGAGCTTGCTGGGATGCTGGGGGTGTCTGGTTTATCTTAAACCAGCAAGGGGTTTGGGACAGACATTGCATAAACTGGTTTGAGGCAAATCAGTTAAGTCTACATTCAATCAGGTTTCTCTCAAACCGGTTTCCACCATTTTCAAACTGGTTTATATATACTGAACATCTGTTCTCATACAGATGTTTCTCTTCATTTAAACTGGTTTATGTGTAATGTCTATCTCTAGCCATGATGACTTGCTGTACAATCTTTCAGAAAGCATCCATGTTGGAAAGGTTTCTTGAGTGTTTTCAATATTCGTATATCAATACTTATTGAACTTCCACTTTAGGATTCTATGACAGAACAGTTACTATGATGTGAACTTTTTTTTTTAAGTCACCAGACATACTGATCATGTAGCAGGTCCAAGTCCCTGGGGGCCGTGCAACTCCTTCTTGGCTCTGACTCTAGTCAGCCCTCTCTCATTTTGCTTGCACCATGCCCTGATCTTGTTAAAGATTGAATAAAGGAGGCTGTCCATGGGTTTGAGAGTGAGCCTCAATCCTACCAAATCTCCAGGGGGTTCCCCTGAACCCCCACTAGTCTCAACTATGCCCTCAGGCTCAAATAGGCCCTCTTGGCCTGACCTTGCTTCTGTAGGCTTAGGGGTTAACTGCGTGGCTCCATACCTCCCCTACACCACACCCGAAGCCTTGCATGTTGTGTCATCATGGACGTTTTCTTTGTCACCCACTTATACTCATGTGCCCTCCTCTGAATCTTCAGACAGCTCAGTATCCCGCACAGCCCGACTTGAGTCTCCAGGCCCCTCAGTCAGCCCCTCCCTAAGCTGCTGGACCTCTTGGCTGCTCATTCAACTTCCCTTTGGGCTGCCAGACCGTCTAGTCCCTCCTTTGTCCCCTTTCTAGGTCCTCAGACCTCTCGGCCCCTCTCTCAGCCCCTGTCTGGGCTGCCAGGCCCCTCAGTCTCACTCCTGGCACTTCACTGGGCTGCTAGGCCCTCTGGTTTCTTTTGTGGCCCCTTTGTGAGCCTCAGGATCCTTTTGGTCCCACTACACTATTCCTGGCTGCTTGCTGGGGTGCTGGACCCTGCCAGTCCCATTACAATATTCCTGGCCCCTCTCTGGGGTGCAGGACCCCACCAGTTCCAGTCTCAGACTCTGCTGGGCTTCTGGCTGTCTAAGTAAGCCTTTCCTGCCCCTGCAGGGCTCCAGGCTAAACTGCTAGTACAACCTAATAGCGATCACCTGCCCTCTGGCAGGTACTCAAGCCTTCTTCATATCGGCTTCACATAAACAAGGGCACCTATCTGTATAAGCAAGCCCTGCTTGTTTCCTGTGCTGCAGAGTGGCTTTCTTCCCAAATTCAGGAGCCCTGCTGCTTCATGTCCTGCCTGGCCGGCTCAAGCTCAGTATTTATACAAGTCCACCTGCTGTTTATACTGCTGCTGGTCAGGTGAGTCCTCGATTGCCTTTCTTTGCCCTGTTCAAGTGGCCTCTCTGGCTGCTTGCTCCCTTATAGGAGCACCCTTGTTCTAAAGCATATTTCAACACAACCTATTTAAAAGAAGTAGCGTGACTTCTGAAATAACTTTATAAGGTATCATTTTTAAATCAGAATCAATTAACTTGCTGTTCTTCCTATAATTCTGGGGAGAAAGTTATATTGCTCAGGTGTTTTATCTGTGATCACAGTCAGATAATTATAAAAATACAAGTATTTCATACAGCTATATTATGCTGAAGTATTTTGCACCCCAAGGAACCTACATTACAAAATACATTGGCAAAATAAATTACGGCAGGAATTCTAGAACAAAATTGTGTCTTAGGGTATTATATTTCCTCTTCTTTCCATCTCTTTTTCCATATTTTTCCTTTTTAATATTATAAGTGGATGACAGCACTTTGATTTTGTTTTGAGAGAAAATGGGAATGCTTCAGATTAACTAATCATTCATATGATTTATAAATATTCATAGTCTAGCTTTTCTGGTAACATTTTTACCTTGCATGGGTAGTGGGTGTGCCTTGAAGTAGAATAACTGGAGGATATGTTCAAAAGAAGGGAAAAATAAGAATTCCAAGACTTTAACCTGCTCTTTTGTTTCAGTGTTTGCCAGTTTTTGTTTGAAATATTCATAACATATGCATATAAAGAGTCTGATTAGTTCAAACCAAACAATAAAAGCCATAGCAGATATTGTTTGCTTTATATAAGTATATTTAATAGAATCTTGTTAACCATCACTTTAGTATAAACAATCAGCTAGATTTTTCTCTCATGTAGCCCATATTTGCAGCAGAGATGAATCTTGCCTGATGTTTTATATAAAATATTGTTGTAAAGCAGCTTTCATGAGTTCTTTTCGTAGGCCAAAGTCTGCTGCAGTTTTTCCTGTTGCCTGTATCTTAATGCTTTAGAAAGTTTCCCTTTTTCTTTACTTTGTTGCCCAAAAGGATCCTCATGCTCTTCGAGGGTCCCCCTGTTAGACCACGGGTCTGGTATTTTTCTCTTGTATCATATTTATACACATTTTTGTGATAGGCCTTTCAAAAATGTTTGTATCCCATTTCTAATGTATTTAACTTATTTCCACTGTCCTCCTTTTAACCCCATCATCTTGATTAATCTAAAAATATTTCTGAGCAATCTTTCTAAGTTGAAATGCTAAGATGCTATCCACTATGCTATCCAATTGGTATTCCATTTTTTTTTTGGAAAAGCAAAAGCCTATTAATTAACATTCAGTGTGATTTTAAAGTGGTTTTTTAAGGACAATCTAGAAAAAAATCACGAAAAATGAGTGGTATGAACATACTAAGGCAATCCTGACAGTTTTGCTTTCCCACAGATACATTCATTTTAAACATTAATTTAAAAGCTGTGTTGTCATTTTAAACTTTAATGAGACTGAAATAAACTGATTTGTAACTTCTGATGTAAAAGCTTCTTAATGTTTTGAAAAAACAGCGAGAGCCATTGCAGCTGTTTTTTCTGGAAAATAAACATAATGTCCCACAACGAAGCACAAACCTTCAGCACTATAATAAGCTCAAATTATTTTGTAACAACTCGCTGAAATACTATTTAAAAATTGTTTACAGTAAAAGAAAAGCCCAGCAGGATGTGATGCATATGTCCTGTTAGGTTGACAAGCAACCCAGCTTACAGTTTGAGGTGCATGTCAGCATCTTGGTTGCCAAAATGAATCACAAAAGCTTTTGTTTTCTCTAACATTTTTTAACAGATTTTGTATAAAATTCACTTGGGTAGTCTGAAAGGAATAGCTTTAGAAAATGTGAAGATTTCAGAAATGGAGCCTAAATAAAAAATATCTGCTGTTGAGAAAATACCTTTAAAAACCCCCACTAAAATGCTTTCTGTTATTGGACTGGAGTAGCAGTGAAACATTTCTGTTGCCTTGCTCTGACTACTGTTTGTCTTTCACAAAAAATGATATAAGTAAGAGTAAAAGTATTTATGAAAGCAGTACACCATTTTTCTCTCTCTGCAGATTGCATGGTGGAAATGTGGGGGTTTCCTATGTGCCAGTATTTAAAGGAAGAGCGCTGGTGCTGTGGTCGCAATGCTAGAATGTCAGCATGCTTGGTACGGTTCTCCTTTCTTTTTCCCTCTTTTCCTACTGAGAGCTTTATCCAGATGTTATAGAATTCATTGTTTTTGGCTTGTAATCCTAGAGCTATGACTTAAATCCCAGATTCCACACCACAGAATAACATCATTAATGTTGTATGTGTGATAAATTATAAGTAAAAAAATTGTATTAACCTTCCAACTTTACACATTTTATACTTGCTGAGGGCAGGAAACAATGAGAATAGACAGAAATGTATTTTAAAAGTGGCCAAAAAAGGCCACAGCTTTATTAAATTGAACAAGGCAACCCCTAGGGCACTAAGTCCTGGCAGTGCTTCTACCATCATTGACTTCTCCCAAAATGTTCATTGTTCATAATATTAAATATTCTAATTGTACAAGAACTAAACAAGTTGGTTTAATCCCCCAAACCAGACCAATCCTGCAATCTTAGGCAAGTTTCTATATAAGGGAATTCTCTAATATTGCACGCAGAGAGTGCTCCTGTGGAGCATGGCCACATCAGCAGCACAAAATGATGGGTTTGAGCCTAATCTAAAGGAATGAATGCATCCCCACATTTTCTTGTTTGGGTTAGAAGTTCACCATCCCTAATCCCTATTGCTTATCAAGTCCCATTACTTGAATAAAGCATGAGAGTTGCTTCTAGCTTCAAATTTTGTTGTTGCGCCTTACCTGCAGAGAATAGAGCCAGCACTCAGCCCAGGCTAATACACGATTACAGAGATGAGAGCTAACATTAGAGAACTGTGTGCCATTGAACTGAAATATGTCAGGACAGTTATACAATATGCTTTGAAATCTAAATATTTCACCCTCAGTAAAGTTTATGAAACATTTCAACTGATTATGGATTCAAGAGCCTTGTTTTGTTATTCTACAACAATCAAAAATGTCTTTCAGAAATATGTTTGCTATCTTTACTTGCCAGTGCAGTTCCATAACCTGCCCATAACAACCATAACCAGTCCATTACTTCAGTTAGCTCCCCAGTAAACCATCACCATTTACACATGCACCCATAATCAGGTGCAGTAAATGAATTAACTCCACTGTAGGATAGTACTTTACGGGACAAGTACTATTGTGCAGTGGAGTAGTTATGTGCGTCAAAGCACACGTGTAGATGGTGACTGTGGCTGGCTGCACTATGAGGGTGCTACAGTGGGGGATGCCTGCTGGCTAGCCCTGCACTGTAACACCCTCATGCCCCAGCCAGCCCATCCACAGCAAGTTGAGCCAGGACGGAGTAACTCCCAGCTGGCAGACTGGAACCCCGGCTCCCCTGCCAACCCTGGGGCTGCTCTGTCCTAGCTCAATGTGCTGTGGCACTGGGTGCACATGTAAACGCTGCACCCAAGAAAAACTCTGGCATCAATTGCACCAGAGTTTATTGCTACATGCTAAGTGCACATGTAGATGCACCCAGTACCCCTATGGTGCTGGTGTTACTGTGCTGTCATTTAGTACTAAATGGTGATGCAATATCAGCTGTTACTGCGCTGTGTCAGCAGTGCACGGTTATTTTTAGCTGCTACATTGCCATAGTGATGCACTGTAGTGAGGGACTGCGTCACTACGGCGACATAGCTGTGGCATTCCAGTTTGTGCCCGCTGATGTTATGTCGCTCTACCGTGTTGCTAAACACACCATTACTAACCTGCTGTCTTCTGTATTCTTCATGGGGGGGAAGGAGGGAAGCTTACCATATTCCTTTTCCCAACCCTTTTTCCTTTCATAGGGAGCAATGAACAGTTAAAGCACTGTTTCTTCTGGAGAAGTGACCCAACTAGAGTTGCATGTCAGTTTGTTGTACAATCAGAGCAATCCCATTTTTGCACAGAAATTCCCATTTACCAACTATAGTAAGCCAGGGCACTATGAGGGCTGACTTAGACATCAAACCTGAAACCTCTTTAAGCACATGAAAGCACTCATTCATGTCCCAGGACCTCACTGGACAGTGCCAAGATCCCAGACACATCTGATTGAATTGAACCCTGCCTCACCGTGTCTGGATTCTGTTTGTGCTCTTGGTTATATATGTGTATGAAGAGTGGCCACTTTCTAGCTTATGCTTATCCATCTTGTATGTTGCTAGTAACAGACAGTGAGTTGCAGAAATACTGGCCATGATATTTGCTACTCGTGTAAGACAGGATTTCTCTCCAGAGTTCTGTTTCATCTGTCAGAGTATCCCAGAAACACAGAGGCTACATACAGGGGTTGTTTCTACCAGCAGAAACCCTACTCTGCTGGTAAAAACTAGAAGCTTACCGGTGTCCATTCAGTTTCTCCCGTAGGATACATTCCCTGTCCAAGAGACAGATCTTCCAGGTTGACACCCTGTAAGAATGAACACTTGCATGCTCCTCTACTCACCACCCACCTGGTCTGGTCTGGAAATAAAACAGCATGGCAGTGCTCCCTGCCCTCCCCAATTTGGGGAATAGACATGGGGCTTTTCTACCTTCTTCCCTCCTCTCCTAGGCTGGTCTCCCTGGTTCAGGGAACAGGATAGGGGCTTTGCCCCATTGCTCTTCTCCCTTCCCAAGCCAGCCTGGGCTGGGAGAGGAGTAGTGGAAAGTATTCTCTGCCTCTTCCCTGTACCAGAAACTGCCTGGTCTGGGTAACAGACTAGGGGCTTTGCCTTACTGGTCCCTCCACTCTGTTCCTAGAGCAGAGGCAGCTGCTCCCCGTTCATTTC